TAATTTGTAGTACATGCTAAGTATCAGAGATGACGCTGTATGTGAAAAAAGAAAAAGTGTTTTCCGCTTTTCTGTTGAAATCTTTCTTCAATTTTCTTTGCTATAAACCTCGCGGAGCCCGAGACCTTTCCAACGAATGCAAAATCGTCGAAATCGGTTCGTGCGTTCTGGAGTTATATCGTTAGGAAGGAAAACCCGACTTATTTTTTATGTGTAGATATAAATACTATATAGTTTTAAAATGGTTTTAAAGATCATTTTAAAAATTTGATATTCACCAAAAGCTCTGCCTAAATGCTCTCTAGAAGACAATTTGTAAATAGAATTTAAAAAACGTTTTGATTCTTAAAGAAAACAAATTGCTTGAATTCCTTCGATAAAGTTTTAGCAATTAAATAATAATATTACAATTGCTGATTGCAATAAAGCGTTATTAAATACATAATTATGTATGGGATTAATGAATATTAAATTAAACTGAATAATGGAATTAAACCAATGGTATTATTTTCTAACTTATATTAAAAAATTAGTTATACAAAATAATTTACATATTTATAATCAATTTAAAGAAATACCAGTATTCAGTTTAGCATTTCAGTGTATCATTCGCCATGACACACTCGATGATTCTTTACCTCAGTTTTCTGCTTCTTCTTCAGATTCCGAGCATTCATCATCTTCTGAAGATTCTTCTACATATTGCTGCTTCCGATTCGTGTTAGGAATAATTCCATATTCATCTCCTTGAATGACGAATCGTTACTTCTTTATTCAGGCCAGGGCAAACACCGAGTCTCTTGAATTCTTTCTTGTGATCATTTGTTAAAACTCGCACAATTTCGCCTTGACACGATTTCCTTCAGCTATAGGTTCAACAATAACGTAGTCTCCTCTTTTAATCCAAACATTTTTTCGAAATTTAGTAGGCATGGACGCTAAATACAGCAAACCTTCAATATTCTCTACCTGCAAAAATTTTATTAGGTTTGCTGAATATTTTGAGTAAGTATTAAGCAGTATATTTATTATTTTATAAATAATAACGACGGACAGACTGAGGAATAAAATATTCCGCTACAGGACCAAAAATTAGTACATATTTGAAAGGCAAGCTTCTTTATCTTACTAAGTACTTATTGTAAATAAATTTTAACATACTTAGAAACACTCGTAAACTGAATATATTTATTTTTTCAAGGGTACTTACATGTTAATCGCCACGACATCAGAAAAAATCCTGAAAAACTATTACTACTATTTACGTCATACATATATGACTGACACGACCCTATATTAAAACTTTCTTTTCTCGATAAGCCGTAGAGTAGAATTTTGCCTTAAGGGAAGTTGCATGAACTTCCCGGCATATGTAAATAATCGACTTTAGTAAGGCATTATTATATTAATTTGTGACTGATTTGTAAGTAAACTCATTTGCTGTAGAGCATCGAAATGTAACGATTTTTTTTTTCAGTTTAACCACTTAACACGTACATACATTTTCCAAATTTAGTCTCATTCTACCCGAAATGACTAGAAACGTCGAGAAAACATAAAATCTCCTTCGGTAAGTTAAAAATGAGATCAATCGAAGTTTCATTAAAAATGTGAAAAATATTTTCTAACAAAACATTGCACATTTATTACATAAGGTAACAATGATACATAACTTCGTAACTCCCGATATACATTGGGCGTACATTGCACTTACTTAACATTTGTTATGTAACTTTGTAACTATCGATATACATTGCGCGTACACACTTACAGTTAGTTAACATTTGTTATATAACTTTGCTACTAAAAGTTACATTGCGCTTATATTACATTTAGTTAACATTTGTTATATAACTTTGTAACAAGTTTCATTACGGCAACATGTAGTGTTTACTGGGAAAAGAGTGCCGTAGCAACAATAATATTGTATCCTTCACATAAATATAACGTCACTCAATAAATCCGTTCGATAATACATAGATAATGTAGCTATGTACTTTAAGAAGATATATGTCAAAATTTCATGACAATCGGACAATTATTTTACAAGTTATAGAGGTTCAAGTGACGCTACTTTTGAATTTTTCGAAACCATGAATTCAAAGCAATTTCGTGGGTTGATTTGTTATTGATTTTTGGTGGGTAAAAATACCATTGCTACCAAAGTATCGCTTGATAAGTGTTATCTGGGCTGTTCCAAATCTAGGTAGATGGTGAAGAAGTGGTTTGCTGATATTAATCGTGGCCCTACAGACACGATGCTGAACACTCTGGAAGGCCAATTCAGGTGGTTACACCGGAGAATATAAAAAAAGACCACCGAAACGTTTTGGCAAATCGAAAAGTAAAATTGCCTGAGATAGCTAACATCCTAAAGATATCAATAGAACTTGAAGGAGATATCGTTCACGAATATTTGAATAGAAAAAACCTCTGTGCTAAATGGGTGCCGCGCAAACTCACATTTGACCAAAAGCACAACGAGTTGATGATTCGTAAGAGTATTTGGATTTGTTCAATCGAAATGAAACTGAGTTTTTTCAATCAATATGTCACCATGGATATGACCTGAACACTACACTCCGGAGTCGAATAGACAGCCAGCCGAGTGAACTAGAAACAATGGGGAGAAAAAATGCAAAAGATCATAGCGTCAGTTTTTTGAGATATGCAAAAAATGATATTTATCTTGAAAAAGGCCAGACCATCAACAATGACTATTGTATAACGTTATTAGAAGATTTGAAGATCAGAACCGGAAAAAACGGCCCCATTTGAAAAAGAGGACCGTGTTGCTCTATCAGGACAACGCACCAAGTCACAAATCCGTGAAAACAGTGATCAAAAAAACATGAACTAGGCTCCGAATCGATTTCCCACTCACTATATTCTCTAGATTTGTTCCCTAGTGACCATATCCTGTTCTCAGATCTTAAAAGAATGCCTCTTAAGAAATATTTGCCAAATGATGAGATGATGGCCTAATATTGTGGCTAAGTACAAATCGTACTACAAAAATGGTGGCAAAAAGTGCGAAGTTCGTTATAATTGGTATATCGTATTTGAAGAAAATTATATTGAATAAAAAAAATGCCAAAAAAATGAGTTTTTGTTAGTACATACATTTAACTCCTAACTGAGTTCAAAAAGGTATATGAATCTCACCTCGTGCAAATTATTTCCTTTGCTTCCAACAATTTTAACAATGGATTGATCTTCTTTTGGAGGTTCCCAATCTATTTCCAAAGCTTCATTTTGGACATGCTTTCGTCTTGTAGCTCGCGACATTTGGAGTTCTATAGTCAAATTAGAGGAAACCAAACATTAATTCATCCTGCATTGTTATAATAATTCAATATCTACTCTACTAAATACAATTTAAGTTTTATATAGATAAATTTATATAGTTACATATAATATATATATATATATATATATATATATATATATATATATATATATATAATATAACATCATATAGAAAATATCTTTTCATTTCCTTTTCAAACATTGTTTGATTATGTATAGATCAAAAATATTAAATAATCAAATATTTAAAAAAAATCATTTATAAGTGCACTTTTAATCCTTCAGCTGATTCGGAAAGACTTTCGTAACCAGAATAATAAACAATCTCAGTCTTTATATCTTTTGTTTATTTATTACAATAATTCTTCTATTTTTGTTTAACGCTTTTTTGGTAATATTATTCTCAATTGTAGTAGATGCATTTTTAGACTTTTTCAATTTCTCTTCTTCAGCCTTTTTAAGTGCAGATATTATATCCAATGATTCGCCAGGAGGAATTCCGTAGGCTGCTTGCAATCCTCGAGGATTGGAAGGAGTCACACAATCAGCTGTAGCTTCCTTGCGGAGAACTTTGTCGACTTCGACAGATGAGAAAAAAGCCACTGATTGCGGAAGATCATTGAGTCCCAATCTGAAACATCATTAAATTTTGTGAAATGATCGGTTTGTCATTGTAATTAGCATTTAGGACTTGGAACTTCATTAGAGAAATTAAGTAATTGCTGATTAATAAATTCTATAATATTTGTTCACACAGAGGGTTATGTAAAACAACCCCTAAAGAAAGTTTTCACAATTTCACTCATCATGTAATAATTGTGTTTGAAGAACTGTATTATTTTTTACTTTTTCGCTGCCGATTTAATCTCATTCTTTGAGCTGATATAAAATCTTATCTCTTCCATTTTAATAACTTCAAAAATTTATAGAAGCTATGAATAATATAGAAATTATTTCAATAAACTTACTTTTAGTACACGGCACAAATGTTTTATTTATTTTATTATTTTTATTATAATTATTTACGGGAAACAGAACAAAATATTCTTCTGATTCACGAATTTTTCATCAAACCAAGATTTGTACTACTATGCAACCTTAAAATATTTATTTAACTATGCCAATTTCCTTGTTGATATCGGTACGCATACCATAAATAAATAAGCATAAAATAACGCATACAACGTTGATTCCGGTACGCATACGACGACAGATCTCTATTCACATACACGACGACTAATCACAATCGACCTGTATTGAAATGATTTCATCGAGAGTGAATGACGTACAGTTCGGGCGTAACGGAATTTCCGTTGCATTCTCACATATTTACTGCTCCAGTCAGATCACACAGAAGTAACTCAACACATAATATAAAAAAAATCATAAATTGAGGAAGATGCGCTCTACATTTATTAAGACTCCTTGTATTATCAATCTAAAAATGTCATGGCAAAGGCAGAATTATATTAATTGAATACATCGACACTTTTCGTTCAAAGATTCAAAACGTTTACAAAACCTTTGGACGTATTTTCCAAGAAATTCATAGACTGTATGTCTTGCAGAACTTGTTTAATAAATTAAACACTATTTTTAATTTAATTCAATTTATTTTCCGAATAATTGTAGCGGAGTACGGAAATCACAATGATATCGATTTACTGATAAAAGGTACTATCGACCTGAACAGTTAGAATCCCAAAATCTATCTATTGAATTCTAGTTACTGCTGGTACTGATAATACTGCAGCAGCAGTGTTGACTAGTGTGAACAAAAATAATGGTGTTACCATATACAATTCTTTCCAACCTTTATACACATCATTAATAGGTAACTCTAAACCACACACAAGACAAATATTTTTACTGTGTTTACGGCACTGATCTTTTGCATGCTGCAGAGTACCAGTAATGGACCTCAATACTTTTTGACACAAGTATACAGGATTGCTTGTCCTTTAAATTAATATATTCTTTACCCTTAATTTCATCATCAGTAGGTAATAATATATTATTATTATCAGAAGCAATATTATCTTTAGTTGTAAAAAATGTATTTGAGGAGTCAGATTCTGTTACATCTGTACAAAGTTGATTTTGTGCAGTAAATGTATTAAGATGGGCTCTACATTTATTAAGACTCCTTCTATTATCAATCTAAAAAATGTCATGGCAAAGGCAGAATTAATTAATAGCTTGTAAATATGAACTACAAATTGAACACATCGACACTTTTCGTTCAAAGGTTCAAAACGTTTACAAAACCTTTATACACATCATTAATAGGTAAGAAAATAATGATTTTATGTTTGTCAAAAATTGCAGCAAAATATACTAAAACCATATTTGATGCTAAAACAATATCTCAGAGTATTTTAAATTCCTTCTACAAGTGATTTCAAGATCTTTTCAGTTTGCCTTAAGGCACGTCGAATGAATGTATACATAACTCAATTTAATCAATAAAAAATGATTCAAATATTTAGGTAAAACTTTCAACTGTTAATTTCAAATATTCAATTTTCGCTTTCACTAAAAATGAATAGAAGCTATTCCAATCTATGTCTTTTAAACATACTTATAATATCTGCAATTGTATAAATTAAATTAATTTATTCAACGCATTTTAACCATTTCGTGTTCTAAAAATATATTTTATTTATGTGTGGACTAACTCTGCAAAACACGAAAAATATACTTTGCTCGTCATATATCTGATTAGAACCGCTTAAACACTTAAACTTAAAATTAGTATAACAAATTAGTAGAACAATCTGTGAAAATATTATTGCAAGACGATATAAAAAAGTAGGTATCAATAAGTTTTATAAAGAATACTTTATAATTTATTAATTATGTAGTTAATCAAATTATCATCTGTTTGAGTTCAAATAACAAAACATATTATTAAATTTTCTATTATTCGATATTAATATAACGAATTAGAAATGATAATCCTTAAACCACAATATCACAAAAAATTTAGAGAAATGCTAGTGAAAATAATAAACTTTCATTATCTTCTATATATATAAAAATAAGTCGGGTTTTCCTTCCTGACAACCTGACTGAAATAACTCCAGAACGCACGAACCGATTTCGACAATTTTGCATTCGTTGGAAAGGTCTCGGGCTCCGCAAGGTTTATAGCTAAGAAAATTAGTGGTGCATGACACCGTGCCCTAATGAAAATTGCTGGAACTTCACGCACCGTAATTAAAAGTTCGAGTAATGACATTAGTGAGAAATATCAGAATTATGCTTGGTTAAGTCAACGAGCAATTCTTGCCGCAAAGAATAATGATGTACACGCACTGAATTTCACCATTCAATCAAAAATAGCTGGCGATTTGGTGATATACCAATGATTCCGACTGGTCTTCCGTTTGACTTCAAACGATTGCAATTTCCAGTTCGCCTTGCGTTCGCAATAACAAGTCGCAATGCCAATCGCTTAGTGTTTGCGGGATAAATTTCAAATAGATTATTTAGAAAATCATTGTTTTTCACATGGGCAGTTATACGTTGCCTGTTCACGAGTTGAAAAACCATCCGCTTTGTTTGTGTTAACGTCAGACCAAAAAACAAAAAATGTGGTTTACCAAAGAGCACTTCAATGAAACGGATAATTTGCGGATTCAGTTTCATTTACTTAGAGAAGTTCAACTAAAAAACACTTCATTTTTGTAATCGAAATAAATTCATTACTGTTGTATAATAAAATCAAATTTTTCCTTTTCAAATATAAAACAAACAAAAAATTTCTTCATCTTTCTCACGAAACCATCTAGTGGCGAAACGGAGTTCGTCGGGTTTGCTAGTTATTTATAATTTCTTATATAGATTAATTTTAATAATAAAAGAGATTTTAACATAATTAAAAACAAACACAAACAGAATTAGAGCTCATTTTATTAAAATATCATAAGCTACAATTATCTCAGATAAAATAATTGATTTTTATTTTTAAACTTTTGCAAAGTACGAATCACATTAATATTTTTTTATAAAATTATCACAAGAACTAATTACAGCTTATCACATTTGATGCCTAGATATTAATTTATTAGGTAATCACAATGTATTATTCATAAAACTAATTTTTCCTAATAAATTGTATAATCTTCTACCACATTGGCAAATTTGCATTATTCAAAGATTAGGGGCCGTTCAAGTATTACGTAAGCACTATAGGGAGGGGGGGGTTTGTTGATTTGCTTATTTTGGGTTGACATGGGGAGCAGGGGAATCTGGATGATGATTACGTCATAGGTTGTATTTTTATTTTTTTACATTAATTGCAAAATGTTTACGTAAGCATGGGGTAGGGGGTAAGAGCTTTGCTTACTTTTGCTAACAAGGAGGACGGGGGGGGTAAATAATTGTAATAAATCTGCTTATGTAATACTTGAACGATCCCTTACACCTGAATATATATTTCATCACTCGAATGCACATCATTTCCAAAATACATAGTTAACTCAGTTAGACAAACAAGTTAATAAGTGTTTCTTTAATTCCTTATTTGTTCTAAAGTTTACTTGACACTGTTGACATTTATTTGATAAATGATGATTCTTATTATGACTTTTCAAATGAGTAATTCTTCTAAATGCTATTCCACAAATATCACACACATAAGGCTTTTCCTCATCATGAATTTTAGTATGTTGCTGACACATAGATCGAGTTCGGAATGAAACACCACAGAATCCACATTCAAAGGGTCGGTCCCCAGTATGCTTACGTTCATGATCAGTTTTATCAGTTTTATTATAAAATGTTCGAGGACAAAATGAACATTTGTGAGCGGCTTGTTTAAAATGTACTCGATTACAATGAGCCCTCAAACTATTCTTTGATATAAAAACTTTTCCACATTGTGGACAAGCACATTTTTGATTGTGAGAAAACATATGTTTTTCCAAATCTGCCAAACTATCCATTCCTTTACCACATATTTCACAAGTTGGTTTCAAGTTGTGCTTCGAATCTTCATGTACTGTTAAACCCATTTTAGTAGAAAATGTGTCTGTACAATTGTGGCATCTATATTTGCACTCGCTTAAATTACAAACTTTTTTATGATTATCAAAAGTGTGAGTATTAAAAAACATTCTGCCACATTTCTCACAATTTATATGTTTAAATGTTGAATGCTTCAATTTGCAATGGCGTTGCAGTTGCGACCATAGCAGGAAGGATTTATCACAAATATTACATAAGAAATGTTTAACAACACCAAAATCATCTACTCTGTCATCTTTATGAATGCCATGAATAGTTTTATGTGTCATGCACCGGCTGAACGTTAAAAATTTTTTATTACAAATTTTGCAAGAAAATGCATAGAGCTCAGTGTGAATTTGGCGATGTATATTAAGAGCATTAGGCGTGCTAAAGTAATGTTCACAAAATTCACAACAATATATTATACTCAGTAAAATCTGTTTCACAGGTCCAACACAATTTCCAGTATGGTTTAAATCCATAGCATACTCATCTCGAAAAACTTCATGACAAATACTACAAGTAAGAACTTCTTGCGGAGTCAATTTTTCAGACTGATGCTTTTTTAAATGACATTTTAAACGAGATTTTCTTGAAAACTCTTGACCACACTCGTGGCAGTTAAATGGTTTTGTTGTTGAATGACTAGTGGCATGTTCTTCTAGCGTTTGCTTATTGAGAAATCTTTTGTCGCATATATCACATTGAAACTGACGATAATCATTGTGCAAACTCATATGATTGATTAGCCTACGCCATATATTGAATTGTTTATCACATAAATGACAATTCCATTTAGACCTTTTCTTATGCAAAAACAAATAATGGTCATACAATCTACTTTCATCGAGAAATACTTTACTACAAATCGTGCAAATCAAAGAGTTTGTTTCTGATTTATGGCACTTTAAATGAAACTTCAACCTCTTTTCTGTTGGAAATACTTTTTTGCATAAATGACAAATAGTATTTTGATCAGGTCTAACTGCTATGCATACATGTTTCCTATAGGAAACCCGAGCTTTGAATGACTTGTTACAAATTTTGCATTTATAATGTTTATTATTTTGAAAATGTACTGACACATGCAACTTTAGTTTATCGTGAGTTCCAAACTCTAAACCACACACAAGACAAATATTTTTACTGTGTTTACGGCACTGATCTTTTGCATGCTGCAGAGTACCAGTAATGGACCTCAATACTTTTTGACAAAAGATACAAGATTGCTTGTCCTTTAAATTGATATATTCTTTACACTTAATATCATTATCAGTAAGTAATAATATATTATTATTATCAGAAGCAATATTATCTTTAGTTGTAAAAAATGTATTCGAGGAGTCAGATTCTGTTACATCTCTATAAAGTTGATTTTGTGCAGTAAATGTGTTAGGAATAGAATTATTGTTTAGAAGTGATAAATGTGAAGATATTATTGCATTACTTTCCTTTTCATAATGGTCTAAAAGTTCATTATTATTAATACTTAAATCTTCTTTTTTCATTTTTTCAGCAGCTCGAGATATATGTTCATTGTCATCTGACTCTGAGATAGCTATGGTGTCTTGAAAAATGCAGGCAACACAAAGAGATTTTTCTAAACTTAATTTTATGTGGGGATTATTTTGTAAAAACTGCTCATCCTGAATAATAGATTCACTTTGATCATTATTCCTAATCAAGTTTTGACAAATACAGCAAACGGAGTATTTCTTTCTGAAAGTTTCATTGTAATTTTTGTCTAAACCAAAAATATAATTTGTTTTTTCTCCGGTATTTTCGAAATCTACACAATCCATATTATAAAGTAATAAGATATGTTTACAATCCAATCCAACGCAACTGTTTAACCTCAAAAATTTAGAAAACAAAAATTCTTCTCTACTTTTGGCGTTTTGCTACATTAGCTGCATGAATTGAAAATATTTGAGAACTATAACATTAATCACTGATGTTATTATGAAATAAAAGTCAAATTCACTTCATTTTAAAATTCAACCTTGTACATGGCAGTAAGCACTAATCTTATGTAATTTATATTTTTTTATGAAGCATTCACACACTTGCTTAAAAAATAATCATATTTAATTATCATAAAATAAAGAACAACGACAATTGACGCTTTTCGAATATTCAAAATAAATCCAATAATCTTTTAGTGTGTTGTCATCAGTTGTCATATTAAATATAAACAAAGTTGTTTAAAAATAGAGTCATTAGAGAGAGATGAGAACGAACAAAGAAATGACTAGCTGTAAGTGGAATTCTGTCTTAAGGCA